ATCAAAGTTTTCTGTAATTAACGTTGTGTGTCGTAAAAGTTTCATTAATTTCCCGATGCTGAATCAACCTCTTGCCACCGTTTCGCGTTTCAATACAAATTTGTACCGCTGCTACAGAAACAACGACGTCGAATTCAGAGTTTACTCGGTTAAAGGTTCACCGACGCCGTGAACCGACAGATCGCAACGCGTAGCGCAACGTACAACCTTTCTGATGCATCGGACGTTCATCCGGGCGCGGCGTCGCACTATTTGCTAGTCGAAGTTGATGTACCTGCGGGGAAACGCGTATTTGCATGCGCACACGTGGTTCGAGCTGCGGGCGGTCTAATTCCAAAGCAAATATTTCCGACCGATTGGCCTACGTAATGCTGCCTATTAATTGACAATTTCAGTGTTAAACAGCGTTGTGCTCCGGTAAAACTCGAGCAACGATAACTAACGTTACGGTCAATATTTTCTCTTCCCTTATCATTCTTAATTACACATTACATTAACGATACGAAAGCATATTTCAGTCGTTAACGAATGGCAACATTATTGAATTCATTGTTGTTGCCTTATCCATATTAACGATCCGTTAAATTGTACATAATCATTTCAACGAACGTATCTATAGTAACGGGAACAGCGAATATAATTTCTCATAGAAATTCAAAGTAATTGTTTACACCGATAAATACATTCATCCTGTACATGTTAATTAATACGCGTGGATGATTATTACCATGCCAAATGAAGGGCTAGGAGCAATTTGCCGCGTGTATTTATTGTTACTGCATTGCCCCGGCCTCAGAATAGAACCACTGTCATTCCATTGAACGGAAAAACGCGATTATTCGTAATACCTACGCTGATCACTATTAATATTCATACCACGATTCCTACGACCGTGACTATCTATCGTATACGCGAGAACAAACTAGAACTGGTTAAGAATTATCGGTGATACGATGTAAGCAGAATCAATAGAAGCATCACAAAAACCAATGTATTCTCTTTCTACGCGAACATTCCAAATTTATGTCACATTTACAGAATTCTTACATCTAACAATATCTCCCTACTCCCTCACCGTTGTCCTAAATGTTGAACTAGCTTTTCTCAAAGAGACTCTTTGAATTTTAAATATTTCCCGAATAACGTAAATCTTTAAATCATACATCTCATTTAATTATACCATCTGCTACACCATTCTCTTTCAGTGTCCATAATTCCCTTTTTCCTTATACATAATTGTATCCTTCACTTATGTAAGTTTATGCAAGTTAACATTATAAATTCATCCGAGAATAAGATAAAAGATTGTGTTTCGTCCTCTTGTCACGACCGAGAATCAGTATGCTTTTCGAAACGTGGGTTTATTATAACCCGATAAGGTCACACGCGAGACTGAACAAATACGCGCAGCAGGATACACGATGACATTCGTTTCCTTCCATTTAACTGCGCCCAAAGGGCCGATAGGTGGCCTTCGAGGGGTCGGATTGACGATTCGTGATCCACCGCCAACAACTAATCTCAGCAATTTGCGTGGACACACCGGGAGACGCACACGGACACCGACGCGCTCGCGTCATGCCCTGTGATTTATATGACACGACCCGTTATAATGCCGGCCGGCCATAATGCAATACAGGGAGCTGGGATGCGCAGGAAGTGACATGAAGAGCGGCAACCACGTGGTAACCACCGAGCGCGGTTCGCCAATGACCTCTTATCGTTGGTGGGCGCTATTGTACCCTACTACCACCCCGTGTGCCACTCGAAATCCCCGGCAACTGAATCGTTGGGTGTTTAATGAAGAAAGGAGTAGAGATGTTCTATTTGTTAATTAGGTAAACTCTTGGACGTTGACATCAAAATGAAACCAATTAATGCAAATAACGTGTAGTGTGCGCATAAAAATAATTAATATGAGCGATGTTTAATGTGTGGCGAATAATGGAGTAGAAATTTTCAACCTGTTAATTAGGTAAATTTTTAACCACTTACAAGAATAATGAAGTACCTGCACAGGAATAAGCAAGTATGAATAGAAATGAAGTGATAAATTCGCACGATGCATATATTTCTCTCAAATCTTTGCTGCTTCAGACACTACCAGGGAATAAAGAAGAAAATATTCATTCGTGTAAGAAAAACATATCTATTTGCAGCGTTGAAGTAGATATTCAGATGGTTCATTCTAAACGGGACACTCTGTATAGCTTTCCTTATCTGTTATTCTCCCCATTTAAGTCGCTTAACGAATCTAATTTAGTGCGTTTACATTCTTTAATTGGAGGTATCCTACTTACTCCTTCTCATTTAGAAATTTTCCATTGTTCTCGCCGTTCGCAGAACAGGAATGTACATGAATGCATGCCGGTTCCATACAATGCAATGTAATACAACCGAGTGTCCTCTTTTAAACAGGAACAGAATTTAATAAAAAAAACAGAATCCGCGAATTAAAAGCAATTAACATTGACTTCTAGCATAATCCACCGACGGAACTTTACACCAAAAAAGAAAAATAATAGCTCGGGGTCAGGTGGTCGCTGAACAAATACGATTTCACAGTCGGCGAACGCAATAGCATATTACGAAAAGTTTTAGCTAATTCGGCGCAATATAGAACTGCGATAACAGTAACAATAATCAGCAAGAGAATTATATAGGGAGAGAGAAACGTAAAGGTGGGGATGTGGGCAACAAATGTAATGAAATTAGGATGACCGCGTGTAATGTAACAGAATTACGATTCCTCGAGGGGGTGAGTTCGGCGCGCAGGTATTCGAATCCGAAAATCCGCCTGGGGAGCGGAATTGCATCGCGGATCGCGAAACTCCGCCAAACGAATCGTGCAGATAAAACGGGCTTATAATACAAACGAAAGTTGTTGAATTATTTGATCACGGCGAGCGGAGCCACACGAATAAATTCCCCGGGGCAGCTAATTATAAAAGGACCGGTAATAAACTGAGCATAAATTTCCTTTCAAATTGATCCGGTTTCCTGGGATCTAAAGTATGTTAAAGGGGTTGAAAAAGAGGATGAATGGCCTGTTCCCAAGCGAAGGGGGAGTCCCGGGTCCCGGAACGAGAAAGATAATCGACGATAGTCGGGGGTTATCCGGGAAGTTACAAGAACCGGAGACCCGAGTTTACTCGATTTGGCAAGTTCGGTATTCACTCGCGTTGCCCTGAACCTCTTTAATCTCCCCTTCCCTTGCTGCTCGTCTCGCCCGCTACAGTCCACGGGCAGACTACGCGCCATCTTCGTTGAATTCCAAACGATCCTGCAAATCGAATAACGCCCACCATGAATCTTTTCATCCGAACCACCATGGCTGGCGACGATTTTAAAAGGAAACGGCCGGTGCGACGATCGATTCCACTCAATTCGGATTAATTAGAAAAGTCGACTTTATGAAGAAATTGTTGAATTTCTCTGATATTTTGGGTCTGTGGATCGAGCTGATAATGAAAATGAAACGAGGAAAGAAGAAATCAATGAAGGTTACTATAAAATAGAAATTTATTTCACTTCTGAGTTCTTAAGAATATTGGAAGCTGATAATTTAAACAACTAGAAGAACGGTTTGCTTTCGTCTGTGTTCCTGTGGTCGTATATTGTTTTTCGCGTAAGCAACTTTATCTTTGTAGCGGTCGCAGACCGTAATGTGATAAATTTAAAGCTCCCTTTTGTTGCGTCCTCCAGCCCGCGTAATTCTACGCTACCGCTTATGTCGTCCGCGAAATTAATTTTGTAAATTCGTGCCAAACGTTTCCTGTAGAAGCTTTCGGGATTCTTGTTTTGTGTACTTGTCTGAATATTTCGTGGCATTACTTTCGGTTTTTTCATTTACATTCAGAACAACGGAATTGGGGAACGATATTGTGTAACGTTACGTTGCACTGTATGGAATACCCGTACAACAGTTGGCTAGAAAAATATTTGTCCGCAAGAATGGGAAATTCTATGGTCGCGAAGTTTACAATGGGGAGAGTATTAAAATTTCATTAACCGTAATAATAGATGCAATTTGAAGATCAAAAACTGATTACGGAGGAACGCTGTTGTTTGTCTAAGCCAGGAAATGTTCTACACAGCAATCATTAACGCTAATGTCTCAAGTACAAATAATTATCCACTACGCCTGCTTGCACGTGTGCGAGTAATTCACAAGACGAAACCTTCCACTACGCAGGAACTGTAATTACGCTCGAGCAAACTCGAAGTGGCGGCGCTATGGGGAGATCACCAGGCTCTTAAATCAATGGAACTCTTTATAAAAGCTCGAACTGCCTGCGAGAACCTAATTTTACGGCATTGAATTCGGAAGATCGACAACTTATTTCGCATCAGTGAATTACCTTTTCTCTCTCCGTGAACTGCGAGCAGTATCGACAGGTAGCTATTACACTGCTGGTCAACACTGATCACTGTTTGGTAGATAACGACTAATAGCATCCACTACTGAATCCCGTTTGACCTAGAGCGATCGAATAATTACCACTGACTGATCCTCGCTATTATAAGATGAGCAGTGACTGATGAGTAACAAGTATTTGACACTAACAACGTTGATCGATCAACATCAACATCAAAGTCTACGTTCATCTGTACAGTGCCCATTCGGTATTCGAATTCTTCAAAAATGCAGGACTCCCCAAATTTACAGCGGAACGCGTAGAACCGAAGAGTTGCTAATTGTATGATTAATCGCATAAACGCTTCCAGATTTCCCAAGGGAGATTACCGACGCCATTTAATCGAGAATTTGTTCCAACTGATCAAACAATGTTACTGGGGAAACGTGTCGGGTCGAGTGAACATTTCGCGACAATTAGGAAAGGACTGTAACGTGTCGTCGAACACGCGAGAGCCGGCTGAAACGTTGCGAATGAAACGAAAACACGAATGTAAAGCTGTCCGTTCCTAGCCTTCGAAGCTGTTTCAACTGTTAAGCAAATGGACGCACTGTTTCATGTGTTAACGTGTTTTCTACTTACATGTCTCGTGTCAGCCGCAAGAAGGGGCGTGTGTGCCTGCAACAATGAGTGCCCAGAAAATTAGACCGAGGGTTCCCACCAATATACTTTTTTTGCTTTCTACGGAGCTTCATGCTTCAACAAAAACTCCGCTGGACGGTTTCACGAGGATACAAACTCCCCGGGAAAGATCATGCTGGCATGCGATGATATGTGTGAAAGTAGGGTCATGCAAGGGCACACGGTACAGTTATCTCAAGGTCGGAATACCACTGATCAATTTTTCCTCAATTTTCCTACGAGTTCTATTCTTCATTGAGTCAAGGATACTTTATTCAATTTTAATGATTGTATACAACGATACAAGTTCCACCTCATACGCATTTTCTCAAAACAGAGACTCTCCTCACAGTGTCTGACCTAAATGATCGATGCACCTGGAATATTTCAATTTCTACCACAAGAATAAATATAATAACGGGGGAGAACGTTTTTATCATTCTAGGAAAGTAAGATAAAATCAGATTATATACGTCGCTACTTATCACCAGAAAAAGAAAGGGAAAAGCCTCAGTTGTAGGTGTTCAGCCGGTTAATCGGAATGAATCACCCGTACCTCATTTCCATGGGTTTTCCGCGGGATCTTATCTCTCGTCTCCTATTCCCGACCCGCTTCTATGGAGGGCCAATTCTAATCGAAATTTATTGAAACTTGAATCGATTCGGTGTGTACGTGCCAGCAACTGCGAATCCTCCGAGTGCCATTACGCGAAACGGAAATTTATCGGCTCTGTGTACACGGCATCCAATTTGAACCTCGTAATGTTAATACACGTATGTAGAGATTCTCGATATTCGACGAACCCTTCTATAGGATCACAAAAGTGAAACGATTCACTCAAAATTTCGATGCGACTGTGGCACGAGAACATTAATTCAACACGAGTCTACTTAAAAACTTTAAACAATTCTTTCCCCAGTTACGAAGTGTTAAAGTTTAACTACATAATCTTGCTTCGCTGAAATCTTCCTGGAAAAACTTTCGTACAGGTGAGTGTTAGTTCATCCCGTGTTTTATCGATTATAAGTACCATCCTTCCTCCACGGAATGGTCCCAGCTCGTCGAAGCATCGAACCGCAGTGTCCCGAGACACGATCATAACGATAAATAAGAGCACAATGAAATAACAATAGAGAGAAGATAGCGGACAGGTAATTTTCTCCGTATTTCTTACTTTGTACGTCGAGAACAATGAAAAACGTCTTGCGGCGGGTGCAACGTGACGGGAGAAAGGTGGCCTATCGCTTCCCTCCGCTTCCTCCCGACCAACCCAGCCTCCGTTCCCTGTTCTGCGCCGTCCTCCTTCCCTTTCTCATCCCGTTCAGATAGAGACACGATGAGAAGGCAAGAAAGCTCCTCCAATTCCGCCCAGGGAATAATTTTCTAAAAATGGAGTGAAGCGACTTTCGACGGCTCGAAGTGGCTGATCTTAAAAAGAATCGGAAAGCCCGTGGATGGAGAGGGCTCATTCAACAAGTACGCCCTGGAGGAGACGGTAACCACGATAATCCGGTTACTCGACGACGGGATCCTGACAATTTTGTTATCCACGGGATCGGCGGACGAACATACGCTTGGTTCTCGTGGCGTCTAGGCGAACGATTCTAGCTAGTGAAATATTCATTTCTAAATGAATTGATTTTAAACCTGGTCTACGTAAACTCTCGAGCATAGAATGCTTCCCTAGCTTCGACAGTGTTGACCTTCCTTTCCTGTTTTCGGTACTTTCCTAATATTAGTCCTGGAATAGGTAATAGTTAGAATGGGAGGATAATAAGTGCAGTTTGATGGTGTTAATGAAACGACAGACGAAAAGAGTATTGCATAAGTGAACTTAGAAGATCGAATTCTTGAAGAGTAAAAGACGCAGACCAGAAGAATGAGAACACACGATATAGAAGACGCAAAAGGAACCAGTAGAAGAAAGAATCGAAAAATTGAGTTGGACAGGATCCAAAAAAATAGACAGGATGTCTACGCAACAGAGACAATCATCCTGAAATCGTAAAAGAAGATTCTTAAAACCTACGATCGAATCAACATGGAACCGAGTACGCAGTTGCTTGTTTTTCAAAGATAAAACTTTTCAGAAGAACCGTGGAAATACGAATAAAAATAAAAATCCGTAATGCGAAATGGCGATTCCTAGATAAACCGTGAAAGAAAGAGTACGACGAAGATCGAGACGTTGAGCAGATCCATCCTCGGGGAAGGAAAGCCGATAGCTCGGCTACTTTACGACGAAATCTGTTCGTCCTTGTTATTCATAGAGCTGCCAGGCGAAATATGAATTGATGCACTCCAAAGTGTATAAGCCGAAGCGTGCGTGCATACAAGGGAGTATGCAAAGATGCACGCACACGTGCACGGCTGAAACTGAATATGGAGGAGCATGCTCGAGTTATGTTGCCAGGTAATATATGTTATTCCCCTCATATTCGTAGCGAAACGTTCGCACACGGGCCAAAACTAACTCTGCACGCGTGGAACCGTCGCGGCGGCAAATTAAACGGTGAAATTGCTCACGGGCTCGTGGAATATTTTTTTCAATATCGTCCGGCGACGCCGGGGAATTAATTAAACTCCGAATATATTTGTTTCGAGCGACGATGAATAATTTCAAACCGATTCCAAGCAACGGCGATCGCGGTTGCCACGTTTCACGTTTCAAATAAGTCTTCGGTTGAAACCCCATATTAAAATAAACATTATTCCGACGAATATTTCGGTTCGAACGTAAACAAGCTGAAAGCGGGAACCGGGAAAACCAGTATTTTGCAAACGCAGCTTGTAAACAATTCAGCCCTCCGCGCGCGTGATTTATACGATGATTCTATTGACTGCTCGAGCGCCGCTCCGCGCGAGATACCTCGTATCACCTTGGTGAAATTCAATCTTCGGATTTTCCCGAGGGTAAAGAGCAACGCTCCCATCCAGGAAATACGACCGTTCGTATGGGGATGGGAATAAAATAATGCCACGCTGAAGGGAATATTGATAATGTTCCCATTACAGGAACGTAACTAGGTCAAAACAGGATTTCAACGCGAAATGGTACCCTTTATTTTCTATCGTACATTCCCAATGAAAATAAAGGTTGAATTCCATAGATACCACCCGTGATGAAATGATTTTAATAAAGTACCACTTCGAACGGATTAATCCCAAAAAGAAAGACGCTACAGTTTCGAATCGTCCGTTGAAAATGATAAAACTTTCAATGGGACGGTAATTGTCACTTCGCTTCGTTATCTGCTTCATGCCTCTCGTTCCTCGGCACAAACATTTCAACCATAGAATTGAAACATCACGTTGCCGATAATAAACGTTCAATCCTCCAAGAAAAATCGAATCCGTAACCAAGACAAACCAGAGTCCGATTTGTCTCCGTCAACTTGTTTTTCCTTGCGGTTCCAGTCTAAACATCGGAGAGCCATCGTCGTTGCCGGGAAAGCGAAAATGGTGAAGTGGACGGAAGGGGTAGGAAGAAGAGAGAGCGAGCCATCCTCGAGAACCCCTTTTCGAGAGAGTATCGTTGCTCTCGTTCCGAGCGACGGGGTGACGGGAAAAATAGAGGAGAGAAAACGCGGCGGCGAGAGGCGACCGGTCGCCAGGCGACGGAAAAAGATGAAGCAGGCCTGAATGGTAATTAATTACAAGGGAACGCTCGGCGTCGCCGGAAGCTCTCGATTCGCGATGTGCGGTGGAATATGAGATTCAATTAGCCTGTACGCGAGCTTACTGGCTGCCCGGTCTTTCAGAGAATTAAAGGCTCCACCCGCGAGAGCTATCTTTCTCGTTTTTTTCCAAAATTTTTTTGCTTTCTCGCCGCGGGACTCTCGCTCAGCCATGAGATATATTATCGGCCACTGGGAAAGGCGGTTTTTACACGCTCAATTAAGACAATTCGTCCCATTGTACCTCTATTAGACCGATCACGCGTAACAATTGCCACTAGAGTTCTACAATAACCCGAACTTCATCGTTCGAACCTTCTTACCACGCTTCGATTTACGAGTGGAGCTGTTTTCCGGCGCGAGCTATATGTCTCTGCGTGCACTGTTGCAAATTACGCTCTCCGTTATCTTTCGCACGGGAAGGACCGCATCCTTTGCCGGCACGCAAGCAGAAAATTAGCTTGGTTCGGATCCAGGGAAAAGATTTTTTCCCTCCGTTCGAAGGAACGTTTGCCCTCAGTCTCGTTTCCATCGGTATTCCTGCGGAGTCGCTACGTTTCTCTCGGCTCCTGTACACACACCGGTCGGAGCGTAATAAAAATTCATTGTAGAAAACCATCGTCGATCGATCGAGCGCACGTTTAACCGGGAAATATTTGACGAGCCGTTTCAATTTGTTCGATATCGAAATCCGACGTTTGTCGGTGATTTATATAGGCTCGGGGAAACAAAAATATTTAATGTTTGTATTTAGGTTTAGTTTGAAAGGTAGTATAAATTCGTATTCATTCACGAGAACATAAATCGACATTGAATGCGTGGACGGCTTAATGAATATTTGTTGAGATAATAACCAAAAAAAGGCGGATGTATATACATGCATATTATATCAGCTGTGTATGATACTTCTCGTATCGGGAAGCAGGAAGAAATTCAACGCTGATTTCAACATTTTTCCTTGTTTTATTACGCTTTTAACGTGCGCTAGATAAACACTATCTCATGTTACATGCATTATGTAAGAGATAAACACAATTGAAGATTTCTCGACTGGTGGACGTTTACGTATTTATGGAAACACGGGAAACCGGTTCGAACGAGGAATGGTGGCATACCGTGAGCACGTAAATTATACAAATATGCAATAAACCGTGGAACAGACATGTAATCGCGTACGGCTTGAATTTTTTCCTCGAACCTGTTGATGAATAATATCTACTAATCTTTTAGTAGATCATTTTATATATTCCGACGAACGAAGTACTGAGACGCATTATCTTTTTCACTTCCGCTGGATACAGTATGAATATTACATTTCT